TTCGAGATTTCTTTTTCTGGATTATCGAATCGACTCTTGAAATAATTTACCGAACAACAAGAAATATTGTATACATATGCATATAAATTGAAAGATTTATTTTTTTTATAAATTTTTTAGAGTATTTATTGAATAAAAGAACTAAATTTGACCGACTAAAATAGGAAATGGATGGGTTGATTTTATTTCATAAAAAGACGAACGCCGCTAAAATCTTGCGCACAAAAATGAGTTTTTTGGTCATTGTTGCGCTGTTCATTTAATTTTTTTATTTAGATTTCTAATCGTGACCTACTACTTTTAAATATTTTCTAAAAAAAAGTGTTCATGCCCTATTTTTTTTGTTTTTAATTGGTAGTTAAATAGAAGAGGGAAGGGGGGGGAGATTGAATACTTCCGATTAAATATTTTTTTGTATAAAATTTGAAGTTCATTTGGACTAATCCTTTAAATATTCTCTCTATTATTTTTTGCGTACAAATTTGTGGATGTTACGAAAAAATCTTTTTTGTAAATTCAAGAGAACCTTATTTAATTTAAAAATATTTAAAAACTTTAATTTTATTTTTGTTTCTTTTAAAATTAGTAAAATAAATTTAGATTACATTGGAATTATCTAAAAATAAGATTAAAAAAATATAGATTCGAAGTGACACATCAAATATTTTTGACAGAAAATATCGCAAAAATTATTTTAGAAAGCTTTTCAGTCATGAGGAAATATGAAAAGTAGCTTAATAGATGCAAAGAAATATAAATTTAAAAAACATTTAAATTAATTGAATAATAATTATATGTATTGAAAAATTCTAGTGAATTAAAAAAATATTAAAATGTAGAAAAGATACATCAGTCAAATTAAATGAGCTAGAATCTCAGATTAGTAGACATGTTTGCAAAACATTTACCGTAGAATGTCTTATTGAATTTAGGAATTTTTAATTTATCTTATTTCTATCCTTTTATCAATTCTTATTTCCGATGAAATAAAATTTTTTGATAAAATTTGAAGTTCATTTGGGCTAATTCTTTAAATATTCTCTCTATTATTTTTTGCGTACAAATTTGTGGATGTTACGAATAACGATGACAAGTCCTTCTAAAAAAGATGGATCAGAACAAAAGCATTTTTCACAAAAGTTAGTTCAAAATTATTCAATAATTTCACCGATTCTGTTATCAATTGATTCCGATATATATGCCCATTTTTTGCATAGATTAATTATTTTTACAAATTAATTTTTTTAAACCTGTTATTTGTGCATAATACTATTTATTCCCTTTTTCTCTTCTAGAATATGACATGAGTGTGCACATTTATTATTAAAATTATACCGGCTGATTATTAATCAATTTTTCAATTATTTATTTATTTAATTAAATTTCTCTACTTACATATTTTTATATTTTTAATTATTTAGTAATTTTATTTCTCTTTATTAAATTAGTAAATGAGTTCAACTACTCCAATTTTGTATTCATATTGGAGAAGGTTAACAAAAAAATTTTTTTAATTTTAAAATTTTCTTTAGTTCGTGTTCGTGGCGTGTTAGAATTGCTTTAAATTTAAAAGGAATTAAATACGAACAAAAAACAATTAATTTATTAAAGGGAGAACAAATAAAGGATGAAGAGCATTTACCTTTTGCTTTAGTTCCTGCCTTTATTTATAATAATTTTTTGTTGAGTGAAAGTTTGGCAATAATTGAATTTTTGGAAGGTAAAAATAATAATAAATATTAAAAATTAATTATTTATTTTTTAAAGAAAAATTCCCAAATTCTCCTTCTCTTTTGCCTGGAACTGTTGAAGATAAAGCTCGGATTCGAGCACTTTCTCTTCAAATTGTGGCAAATACTCAACCTTTACAAAATTTATTTGTTCTCGAATATTTGTCAGATGATGCTAATAAAAGGAAGGAATGGGCAAAACATTGGATAGAAAAATCATTCAAAAATCTTGATAGAGAACTTGCAAAATATTCTGGAGGGAAATATGCATATGGAGATTTACCTTCAATTTTGGATTGCTGTATTCCCCCACAAGTATTTAATGCTAAAAGGTAATTCTCTCTTTCTCTCAATAAAAAAATATTTTTAAAAAAGATTTGGTGTAAATATGGAAGAATTTCCTACAATTGATAAAATTGATAAGTTTCTTGCTACATTGCCCGAATTTAAATTGGCACATGCAAATAATCAACCAGACACGCCGGAAGGAGAAAAGATTTAAATAAAGAATTTATAAGTAAAAGAAATTTTAAATTTATTATCTAAATAATATCCTTTAAAAAGGACTGTTTAAGGAATGATCAAATTTGATCTATTTTATATTTGAAAATAATCAAGTAAATATTTACTATATTTTAAATTTTAAACATTTTACTTATTTTTTATTTAACATGTATAAAAAATAATTAAAAAATTCAAAGCTCATCACTTGCTGCTTTTTTAAATAATTTAGCTAATTCTATATCAAAATGAAGTTCAGCTCCTCCGGGAATTTGATCGCGGCCTTTAGTTCCATAACCTTTTATTAAAATTAAATTGAAAAAAAATTACTATCGTTTTTAAATGTTGGCTAAACATTTAAACTATCCTTTAGTCAACCATTGATCTTGAAACCAAGAACTTTCTTGGATTTTTTCGGTTTTGGTCTAGATTTTTTGGAAGATTTTAGAAAAATCCTGTAGGCTCAGGAAAAATTTGCTTCCTGTAAAAACAAAATCCTGGGGGTCAGATTGTTCTCGACTTGGGGAAAGTCTTGGTCTTAGTTTGACAATTTAAGAGAAAATATACTATTTACTTATTTATTTTACGAATTATTTATGTACCTAATTTTGAAGGTATAATAACTTTTCTACGCTCTCCTTCACACATTCCAGTCATCGCTCTATCCATTCCAGCAATAACTTCACCTTTCCCAAGTTTAAATATAAAAGGTTCTCCTCGTGTATGAGAAGAATCTATAAACGTTCCATCAGCCAAATGAAGAGTATAATGTTGGTGAATTGTATCTCCTATAGCAGAACGACGACATTTTGACTCGTCAATTTTGTGTGTTACCTTTTAATTAAAGAAAATATTTTAGAATTTTATTTAAATATACCTCAATATCCAATCCATCCTCTTCACGCCATTTTGGTCCAGGAATTGGACGAAATAAATTTTTTAATTGTACTACATAATGAAGTACTTGATCTTTAGTTATTCCATCCCTTTAAATTTAATTTTTAAATTAATTAAAATTAATTTTTAATTATTCTTTTTATTATTCCTCAATATTTTTAATCAAAGATTTATTCACAACATTAATTTCCTTTTAATTTATTACCTAGCCCTCCCTTCATTTCCAAATCCCAATTTTCCAGGAATTGTAACTTTTCTTTTCTCTCCAATACACATTCCAGTCATTGCTCTATCCATTCCAGCAATTACTTGTCCTTTTCCAAGAGTAAATGTATATCTAAAATATGTAATTTAAAAATAAATCAGCTGCCCCTAAACATAACAACCCTTTCGGTTCTTAACGAACATCTTAAAATAATAACGAATGTTTTAAGGGTTCTGGGTTAACCTACCCGCAGCTGAGGATTACCCGCTACCTCGTTCTTAGAATACCGACCAGGGTTGCTCATTAAAAGACTCGATCTAATTAATTATTTCGTCAATCATTTAGAGTTCGTTACTATATCGAAAGTCGACTAATTATTTTTAAAAAATTATTTTAAACTCCTTCCTCTCCCCTCCTCTTTTTAAACTCATTTCATTTAATATCTCCGACCTACGGTTTCATATTGAAGTTTGATCCAATTTCTTTTCCATTAGCATCAGATAATTTATAATATTGTTCTAAAATATCTCCCGGTTCACTTTTAATTGTACATTTTTCTTTGGAAATTGGCCTAATTATTTTTATTTCAAGACCATCATCGTCCTTTAAATGAAAATTTTATTAAAATATTTTTTAATTTTTAAATTTATTTATTTTATTATGTTTCATTCCCACTTGTGAGGTTTTTTTTACATTTTAAACATTTTTGATGTTTATAATTTTTTGGAAAATGAAGATATTTTTTAGAGAAAAAATTTTGAGTTTTGTAAATTTTTAATTATTTTTACATTTCCATTATTTAATTTTTAAAATTAATTTTTTAATCAAAACATTTAATATATTTAAACCTTCCATTGCAAATTTTGACCTTCAAATTGTACATTTGACTTTCCTTCCTTTTTGTCATTTTTCTTTGAATTCTTTTCATCAGATTTAGAATTAACTAAAGAAAATATAAAAAATACCAAAAATAAAGGAAATAAAAAATAAAAAGAATTATTTTGTTTCATTCCAAAAATTATTTAAAATTTACTAAAAAAATAATTAAAAAATATTTTTATTGGTCAATGGAAAATCAAAATTAAAAACAAATCTATTGGGGGAAGAGTCATGTCTTCATTATTGAAATAATTATTTTCCAATTCTTGTTTCATTATTTCTAAACTATACAACTAAATTTACCTACTTTAGTTATTTTAAGAATTTAATATCTATTTAATATCTCCTCCACACACCCGGATATATATTTACTACATAAAATGAAAAATAAAGGAAAATGTGTATTAATGAACGTAAGTAAAAGACCGCGGGGAAATTTTTCATCAAAAATTGTGAGCAGAACCACCAAACAAACAGGCGGTCAACATAGTGTGACTGCTAAAATTGGATAAAATAAAGAGGAGGAGGATCTTCGCTCTTCTTAAAGATGAATTGGATGAGATGAAAAAATAAAATAGATCGATTTATATAAAAAATATTTTTAGAAGAAATAAACCAAAAAAATTATTTTAATGATTAATTCATAAAAATTAGTAAAAATTTTATTTTTAATTTTCAAAGTTTATGGGAAATATTATCAGATTTTACTTTATTATTCAAAAAATGGCATCTTTTAAATATTCATAAAATATCTAGATAGTTCGAATTTACCCAACTTTTTCTCAAAATTAAATATCTTCATTATCAAAATAATTATTTTCCAATTCTTGTCTAATTATTTCCGGTTTATTTATTAATGTTTTTGTTGCTGACACAACTTTTCGACGTTTCCAAAATTGTTTCATTCCTAACATTTGTTTTAAATTAGGGCGTTGTTGTTGATAATCCTTTTCTACTGCAGTCATTAATTGTTTTAATTCAGAAGAAGAACGCTTAAATGATTTTATGTTAAAAATATAAATTAATTTAGAAAGAATGAAAAAGTATTTGTTTGTGTGTTTTCTTTAAGTTAAAATTAATTTTTATTTTTCTTAATTAAATATTTTTGCCTCACATACATATTTATGTATCTGATCATGAAAATTAGTTAAAGTTGGAATACACATAAAAAATTTGTTAAGGAAGTTTGTCAGATTTAAATGTTATGGACTTATGAAGACTTATGAACTTACATGTATTATAAAATTTTTTCAGATAATAAATAGAGCTAATTTTTATTTTTAGATATAAAAACACCTATTCTAGCAACTATAAATAAAATAATAATTTTTTCTAACCAAAAAATTCCTTTCAGCAATTTCCAATTCTGAATTTATTAAATTAACATTTCTCTGAATTTCATTAAGTTTAGCCTCAATACTCGAAGATGAATGTTCCATAAAATAATAACAATCATCATCTGCTTCTTCATCTTCTCTTTTATCCATTAATTCGTTTGCTTTATTTTGTTGATTAGAAGAAGAAATATTAAATTCTTTTAAATTTTTTGAAATTTAAATTTAAATTAATTACCTGCTGCACTATCATATGAACTTAAAGAATCTTTTCTTTTCCAACGTTGTTCATATTGTTGACAAATAAGTTTGGCTTCAAAATTAAGTCGGAAACTTAAGAAATTTGAAATACCTTTTCTTCTAACCATTCTTCTACTATGTGGATATTCATCAAAAGCAACAGCCATAGCTTCTCTTTCAAGAACAAATAAAAGGGAATAACCAACTGATCGAACCTTTTTTTAAATAATTTTGATTTAATCGAGTTTATTTCATTTTTACACAATCAACTCCCTCTATAATGGACCCCGAAGGACTATGAAATATCATACATAAAGTCAAAATACTATTTTAAAATACATTCTAATATTTTTGCGTTTATCCATTTAAATTAGAATTAATTATATTAGCCTATAAATTCCTTTAAAACTTGGAAAACTTTGATTTATTTTTTTAACGTGTAAGAAGCATTATAATAAAATTATTACAGTATATGGAATTTTGCATTCATTGACAAGTGCCCAATCACCAAAAATATCCCCTTCTTGTAAAATTCTTAAAAAAAGGAAAAAATTATACTAATATTTTGAGAATAAAATAATGAATATTTAGATTTTTTTACTCACCTACTTTGAAAATCACCTACTGTTGTTTGAAAAAAATTAAGAGAAGAACTTTCTCTTTCTGTTGAAGTATAAAATGATTGTTCATCAGTAAATTCATCATCTATAGGCATTTCTAAACGTCCATATTTAACAATAAACATTGCCTGAAATTATTTTTATTTTAACAAAAATATATTTTAATTTTTTTGTTTTACCCCTCGCAATTTTTTAAAAATATTAAAAATTTTTAATTTTTAAATTACTTAAAATCAATATTCAATATATTCACAAAAAAACTTAATCATAAAGTTTTTTTACCGGAAAGTGTAAAAATATGAATGAGGCAAACATTAAAAGAACAAAATGAAAAGGAAAAGCCACAAAACATTATTTTATTTGTAAAAATATACATATTAAATTTTAAAGAAGAAAAAGGAAAAAAATAATTTATTTATTGGCTAAAATATTTTTTAAAAATAATTTTAGAATTTTTTAAAATTAAGAAAAATATTTTTATGCAACAAATATTTTATTTAATTATTTATTTTATTTTAATTCCATTTACAAATTCTATTCGTTGTTTTGAATGTTCTTCAGTAAATTAATAATTTTAATTTAATATTTATATCTTGATTAAATAAAGGTAGCAACGGGGGGTGACAGAATTTGTAGTAAATATGTGGGAACAAGTTGTTCTTATGGATTTTTTGGGTGTGTTAAAGTAGCTACTTATGGTTAAGAATTTTAAATAATTTTTAAAATAATTATTTATTTAAGATGGAGGTGTTGATAAAAGTTTGTTTATTGTTTTGAATAGGGTTGTCGGTTCTGGACTGAACCGAAAAACTGATGATTTTTCGGTTCAGATACCGGTTCGGTTCCGAATATCCGAAGATTTTCCAAGAACCGACAAGCCTAGTTTTGAATTTAAAAATTAATTTTTAAGTGGGCAATTTCATTAACGATCCCTCAGCTGTAGTATCAATTGTTCGTGGTTGTAATATTCTACCTTTAGGTGGGGTAGATGCTTGTCAACAACAAGTTATTTTGGGATATAGAATTATTACATGTAAATATTTAATATTTTTAATTAAAAGAAAAAATAATTTTTCTAAAGGTTTTTGTTATTCTGATTATTGTAATGGAACAAAACAAAATAATTTAAGAATAGCTACTATAATAATATTTATTTTATTTTTTGTTTTATTTTATATTTTTATTTTATAATTTAAATAGAATTTTATATTTATTTTTTATTTTCAAATTTAAAAAAATAAACTTACTTTTGTATTTTCCCCTTTTCTACAAACAATATCTCCGGGGCATAAACGTAATGTTTGTAGTCTAATAGCTAATTCACTTAATAAAGCTCTCTCACATAAAGAAAATACAGGCGAACCAATTAATGCCCTAACATGTGATTCTGCTGCTAATTCCAAGCCAAGACGAGGAGGTAAAATTTGAAATAAATTCTGTTAAATATTTTTGTTAAATTAAAGTTGGCGGGTATGGGAATCTCAGTCTAAAATCGTTATCGGGATTTGGGAATATTTTCCCAATCCCGACTGCTATCTGTCAATATCCCAATACCTTCCAACACCCAAATATTTAAAAACACCTTTTCATCTTCATTTAATCTTCTTCCCCAAATCCACTGATATTCAATCCAATTAATTACTCTATTATATAATTGTGTATTAACATTTCTAATCCTCATATATCTTTTACATCCATCAGTTATTTCTTGAAATTTAACTTTTTCTAAATGGGCATTACTTACCTTTTAAATATTTTTATTTTAAATATAATTTCTTTAAATTTACCATAATCCCAATATCCCCAATAATTGCTGCAAATAAAAGTAGCCCAATTAAAGTATCAATTATTTCAAAAGCTGTTTGAACGCTATTTGCTGGCCAAGGCTTTTTTATAAATTTTATTTTTAATTAAAGAATTTACCCTTCTACCTGTTCACCTAAAGTAACAAGCGTTAAGGCAGACCAATAAAAACTCATTGCATATTTTTTTGTTAAATTATTAAAATTTGTTGATCCAATTCTTTTAATTAATTTTTTAAAAATATTTTTTTTTTAAATTTAATATAAAAACTTTTTTTGCCAATAATTTTTTAATTCATTAATTCTTTCTGGCCGATCCCTCCAATTTTCTTCTGGAAAAAGACATTCATTTCGGTTAAAATCAAATCGTGGTTCGCATAGAGGAAATAAAAGGTCGGGAATCTAAATAGAGAAAATACTAGATTTTTAGAAACTATTTTCTAAAACTTTTTGATAAGAAAAAGTCCAATCATTTACTGTAGAATCTAAAAATATTTATTTAAAATTTAAGAAAATTCCTTTATCAATTTACTTTCAAATCCATATAGAGAACTTAAATAGAAATAAAAACAAGCATTCCAATGAAAAAGTAAATAACATAAAGTGGCTAGACGTAATAAACGAAATCTAAATATTTTTGTTTAAACAACCAAATATATTTTTAAAATAACCCAAGTGGCCACGGAATTCGATGTTCAATTAATTTAACAATTTCGCTAACTCTTCCAATTTTTGCGAGACGATTAATTCGAAGTAAAAAGAAATTAGGCCAAATTAAAAGTAAAATATCTGTAGGCAAAATGGCTAATAAATCGAGTAGAAATGCTCGACTATAGATTAAAAATTTAAAAAGAAAACAAAAATTATTTTAACCAAAAAATATATTTTCGAATAGATATGTAACGATTATTGCCAGTAGATCCATCTAGTGTAAATCCTAAATATTTAAATTTTATTAACTAGGCATTTTTTTAAAAATCCTTTTACCTTTCTTAATTTTTACAAATAAATCCAAAACATTAATGGCATCAGTAAACCAATTCATTAACAGCCATTGAATATAAAACTTTTCAGAAAATTCGGAAAATACAACCATACAAATGGATAAAATATTGTGAAGGAAAGCAAGGGTTAAAAATACACACCAAACCCCGCCAAAAATTGAGGAATCAACAAATTTCATATTTTTTAACTTTTGTAGGCAAATCGGTTTTTAAAATTTATATTGGAATATTGGAGATAGAATATTTTATTCAATTTATGTTAGATGAGGGTTTGTCAATAACTTAATACTATTGAAGAAATTATTAGACGACTGTGAATATAATTTTTAAGCTAAGCTGCCAAGTTTTAATTTTATGTACATTAATGAAAAATAAATATGTTTTTATTTTTATGAAAGAGTTAAGTGGTTTTATGTCTAAAAGCTTCTTTACATTTTTAAATATATTAAAAAGTCATGCAAGTACATATATTAAATATTTAAATATTATTTTCAATTCTTCTTTTCATTATTTGTTGTAGACCTCTCCAAAATTGCAAGTGTATCCCCAACTAAATGAAGACTTCCTGTTATTAAAACATGTAATTCATTGTCTTTAGCCATATTTAAAGAATATTGGTTAACCCATTCAAGTGTTTGTGAAATACAAGAAAAACAATGGGCATTTGTTTTAGTAGAAGAAAGTTGATTGGATGTTAGTAAATTGTTGTTGTTGTTGCCTTCAATCTAAAAAGTGAAAAAATTAACCCTCTTTTTTCCTCAAAAATATGTTTAGTCGTTTATCCATATCAATTTTACTCTGTTAAATTTAAACCTTTTTAATCAATGTCTTTTAATTTGAGGACGCTCTATAAGGAATAAAAAGTCTTTTGGAGATAAAAAAAGGCGGGAGGGGGGGGGGGGGTGAACGAAATTAGAAATTATCAATTAATTTAATTTTCAAATTCTTTCCCTTCCTTACTTTGTTTTCAAATAATTCCATCCACAATTGTTTGTCTTTATAACACCTTTTCAATTCTTTAAAAGAATCATGATTTAAATTAATAGAGTCATTAATTAAAGAATTATTTTCTTCGATAATTGCTGGACAAAAAAGGGCGGCATTGAAATTAAAATTCTTTTAAAAAATATTATTTTCTTTAAGAAATTATTATTTTTTTACTTTAAAAACAGGTAAAAGTTGTAAAGAATCTCTATAACCAGTACAGTGAAAAATTAATAGACGTTGTATTTTATTATTATTTTTGAAAGAATTTTCTTTAAACCATTGTGCACAATACTTTAAAAAAAAATTAATTTTTTTAAATATTTCTATTTTTTAAATTTTACTTTAATACTTAAAGGAGTATGTGCTCCGTCTAAAAAATAAAAAATATTTTCTTTTTGTAAAATTTGACTTCTTCCCAACCATTTACAATTAAATAATGCTTTGTAAATATTTTCATTAACTTCAAATCCATCCAAATTATTATTTAATTTTGTTGTTTCTTTTGGCAAATTTTGAGTGAAAAATGGAAGGAAATTACCTTTTTAAAGGAAAATAATCTTTAAAAAAATATATAATAATCACCATTTTTTGTTGAATTAAGACAAAAAATACGGGCTAACTGCAAAGCTAGGGAAACATTTAAATGTTGATGATAACCACTTATTCCAAATTTAATATTTGAATTTGGCCATTTATATGAATTAATTGTTGAGGGAACAATCAAGAATTTGGACTTAAATATTTTTATTTAAAATATTTATTAATTTTTATTTTTTACATTTATTTCTTTACATCTTTGCTTTATTACTTCAATTGCTTCTGGTGGTTGTTCAACAGTTAACAATGTACAATTAGGTTTGGCTATACCAGCTTTATGCCAGGCAATTTCAGGAATAGTTGAGCCAAGAATACTATTTTATATACAGTATTACCTCTATTTGAATGCCACCCTCTAATAGAATGCTCGAACATTCAAGTAGAGGTAATACGTTATTTAAATGAATATTTGTTTTTTATATTCAAAATTATTTTTTTAAATATTTAAAAGTCTGACGAAAAAATTAAATTATTTTTTGTTTATCTAAACAAATAATTTCTAATTGTGAATTCAAAATTTATATTCAACATATAATTTTTGTTCACCTTGTATGGTCCAAATCTAACGTTGTAATTCCACAAACAATAGGGTTTTGAATTATATTTGTACAATCACCTTCACCTTTAATAAAAAAATTTTTTATTCAATCTAATTATCAAAAATAGAGGAATTATTATTTTTAATAGTCTTTAAAGGTCTTTAATAGTCTTTTTCTATTAATAAAAATTCACCTCCAATTCCAACCTCAACAATAGCAACATCAACCTTCTCCACATAAAATATATAAAAAGCCATAATTGTTAAAAATTTAAAATAACCGGGCATTTTCTTTAAAAGTTTTTTTAAATTTAATATTTTTCCCCCTTAATTACTTCCTGATTTTGAAGAGAATCCTTCAAAGTATTAAAAACATGAAAAAAATGTTTGGCAAATAATTCTTCACTAATTGGTTGTCCATTAATTTGTATACGTTCACGAACGTGAATTAAATGTGGAGAAGAATAAAATCCAGTTTTATATCCAAGTTGACGTAAAATAGACTCTAAAAAGGCACATGTTGAACCCTTTCCTTTAGTGCCAGCAATGTGAATACAATTTAGTGAGTCTATATCGGCAAGCTATAAAAGTTAAATATTACATAAAATTTTGTAGTAGAAAACTATTTTTCTCAAATCTAAATTTAATTCATTTCAATCCTAGCTAGGGATTGAAATGAAATGAGTTGGATTGCCAAAATGAGTTGGACCGAAAGATGAAGACGGGCCTAAATGTTAGGTCCGAAAGTGTCTCGTAAACCCCCAACTCGACAAAGTTAGACCCGAAAGTAACTCGTACAGGCCCGACTCGATAAAAACAAGCCCGTAAAAATGCCTCGACGTCGGCCCTACTCTAAAACAGCAACCCTAATCCTAGAATCGAGATTTAAAATAAAAATTTTAGACACACCGAAATATTCAGCGGTGTCAAACATTCCATCATTTCCTCTAAAACATCTTGTCTATTTTTTCGTTTTTTGAAATTAATGGCAGCAGAAATTATTTGAGTATTGCTTTGAAGACAATTTAGCTGATAAACTGATTGCTAAAAATACTATTATTTCACACAATTTTTTGAAAAACATTTTTTATTACTTGATATAGATTAATTGTAGTATTTCCATCACCTTTTAATTCACTCAAGTTTACTTTTCCATTATGTAACATTATTATAGGAATTTTTGTTAATGGGACAATCGATGATAATGGTAGTACATTAATAAATGAAAAGGTTCGACGGTAATATTTTGTTGATAAAAACCCTAAAAAGGGGAAATTTTCAATTAAAATTGATTCAAATTAACGGGTAAAAGTTAGAGATAGGAAAAATTGAAAAATCAAATTAAAATCAAATATTAAAAAAAAATAATCAAAATTCCAACGAAAGGAAAAAATAATCAAAAAGACTTGATCGAAAGTTCGCTTTTTACAATTTTTATCAGACCTTTCCCTAGTAAAAACTACTAATTAAGTGTTATTTAACCTGAGATTATTCTACAAGTCATAATTTAGTAGTCGGAAATAAAGATTCAAAACTGATAATTTCAAAAACATTAAATGTCTAAAATACAAGTAAAAAACCGACGTAAAAACATGAGAGAAATTATGTGTCTGAATAACTAAATCATTCGAGTGAGAAAAATTATTTTATCATTTTTACCAAATTTTTTATGAATCACGACAAAAAAACGATTGGCCCAAAATATTAAAATAACCAAAAATACTAATTAAAAGAAATTGATATTCATATTTTTTATTTAAAAACACTTAAATGAGAGCTTATCGTGAAAAAGAATTTTTATAACAAAAATGGGGTCCGCGTAAATAATTAAAAAATATTTATTTTAGATTAAAACAAAAATAATGTTTTAATTTGTACTTTTAAAAGATCCCCGGCCAAAGTATTCAAAAGAATAGTTTAAATGTTCAGAAAATTTCGGGGTCTATCTTTCAAGGCTTATTTTTGTATTTTTTATTTATAAAAGAAAAATTGGATGAAATTTTTGAGACAATCTAAAAAAATAACAGATTCGGATTTAATGATTCATCAATCAGGGCAAAAGCAAAATTTGGAATTCAAAAGTGGTTTTTTAAAGAAAATCGTCTACTTTATCGTTAAATCTTTTTTTTGTTACAAATATTTTTACCCTTCCCCATCAATACGGTTTGAATCCAGAAGAATGTGTTTTGACAGGCATTGAAGCACGTCCTCGGGGAATAAAACCACGCTGAAGCATATTAGTAGTAGCACTTAAACGACCACGAGGAGGATAACCTCCTCCACCACCTCCATGACCATGACCACCGCGCGATCGAGGAGGTATTGAACTTCTCACTAAAATTATTTTCACATAAAATTTCAAAATAAAATATTTACTCGGTCCTCCAGGAGAATCTGCTCCATTCTTCTTATCACCGTCACCTCCATCACCACCGCTACCTTCCCCGTCGTCATCTTGTTTTGTTGGGTTCGGTTCAGTTGTGATACCTTCAATATGCGTGTCTTTGACCTGAAAATTAAAAATCAAAATCTTCATCAGAATATTCCTTGACAGTAATTAGTAAAAAATTAAAGAAACTAACTGGTTGAAGTAATTCCGAAAGAACATTGAGAACACCTGCAACTCGTTGATATGCTACTGCTGGCGGAGCTGTTGTCTCAACTTTGACGTGAAGAGGACCGCCATAATGCTAAAAATATTTAAATTTGGAATTTTTAAAAATTTAAAATGAATTACCGCGTATTGTGGATCGCCTCCTGCTAACAATTCCTAAAATTTTTTGTAAGTTTATTAATAGAATTAATTTTAGCATAATAATTTGTTACTCAAAAATGTTTTCCCTGGTAAAATTAGATAAGAGCGATTACCTAAAAAATTTTGGAAAAAACTTAAAACTGCTAAAAAATTACAAAAAATTGTTTAAAATGTCCTTATTGTTAGATTACTAAACGTTTAGACAATAAATCTGTATTTAAAGATGTAAACCTGCTCTTTTGCTCTATCACGAGTACTTCCACGTCCAAGAATGTAAACATGACATTTATATGTTTTGGCAATATTTTGCAATGTCGTCCCCTTTGGACCGAGAACTTTACCAACAAAATTGAACTTAAAAATATTTGATAAATTATTTAAGAATGTATTTAAAAACCTTTTGATGACGAAAACTTGGAACCAAAATTTTCTTTGTGACTTTAATAGGTTTATTTATATCAACTTCAAGCCATTCAGGATCAATGTTATTCTCAAGTTTTGTTGCTTCTAAATGATTTTAAGAGTAAAATTAAAAATATCAAGTCAAAGAAACCCGTTGCCAAAAGACGCCTTGCATTCTTAAATTGTTCTCCATATTCACCAGATTGCTCTAATAATTGAACCTCTCCATGGATTTCCCTCAAAACAATTTGAATTTCAGCATCCAACGGTGAACTCATGTCGGCAGGAAAGGCTGCCCCAAATGCAGATGTTCCATATCCATAACCTAGAGCAGCAGCCCCACCATAAGCGGGCTGTCCATAGCCGTAAGCCTAATAAAGAGAAAATGAATTTTACCCAAAAAGTCAAAATTGATAAGGTTAAAGACTAAAATCCTAACCTCATTCACTGCACCTCCTGTGGCTCCATAAGCACTAAAATCCGGCGCTGCTCCAGAAGATCCTGCCATATTTGAAGAATTTTATAATGTTGCAGAAATAAATAATAAACAGAATTTGTTGTTAATGGAACTAAAAATAAAAAAAAATTAAGATAATTTAAATAAAAAATAGATGGCTTAAAGCTTTGGAAATATTTAATTTTATTTTTGTTTTTTTTTGCAATTTTAGCCAAATTACTTAAATTATAATTTGTTAGTTTTGAATTTTTTTAAAGATTTTTAAATTTGAGGGGTTATCAAAATTTTGAAATTTTGCAAAGCTTTCTGCCGGCATTCATTTCCATCAAACACCGACAGCTATACACAACTTACATTCTCAACAGCTTGTTTGCACTCAAAAAAGACAGTTGGCAACAGAATTTTAAAATTTTTTTTGATGTTTTTAAATCTCTGAATTTAAATTTTCCGGTTTAAAAATTTTTAAAATATACCAATCGAAGAAAATAAAATGAAAAAATTAGAATCGGATAGTAGGGAACATTTGAGGGCAAAATATAAATTGAGAATAGGGGAGGATTTTGTGAACAGGGGAAATTAAAATCCATAATCGAATAGGAATTAATGTATGCCCCAAAAGGTCGTCACGATTCAAAGGAAAACGCAAAGGATACTTCGATCAGTTACATATAATTATTAAAAGATTTTCAGAAATATTTTTTAAAAAAAATTTTTGATTTAATAATTTAAAATTTTTCACAGAATATTTTTTATCCTAATAAATTTTTGACAAAAAAACCAATTTGATCTGAAGTATCTCAATGTTTACAAAATTTAGCGCGATAAAAATTGAAGTTAAATTTGTATATTTAAGGTCGCAATAAAATTGAAGATTTGTTGGATTAAAGAGCAATTAGCTCATTCAAATAATTTGGCTCGTGCACATTTAGTAAGATTTCATTGCGTTTATTTGTGCACGCATGTGCAAATTTTTTGATTTTTGTTTGAAAGTCATGAAGAAAATATCAGCTCCTCGAAAGTGTTCGGCTTTAACATTTCCAATTTTTGATAGTTTACATATAAATTAGAATTTTTTGAATTAAATAAGTCGGTAAATGTGGAGATTACTGGTCCCGAAAAAAAATGACAAATAAATGCTTTTTTGATATTTTTGAGGTCTGCCAGTAGGTATTTGAATGTGCTGAGTCCGAATATGAGCTTAGAATTTGTCTATTTCGAACCCCGAACCCGAATTCGACCAAGTCGGATATGGGGTAAAAAATTCGAAATTAAAAATTTAGGGCTAATCTGACACGCCTATTCGAGCTGAGTCGAATAGTATCAAAATTATCAAGTTTCGACCATTTTAAACGAAGTTATGATCAATTAAATAACGTTGGGTACGACTTCCGTATACAAATTAGACACCATAACTTCGTTTAAAATGGTCGAAACATGATAATTTTGATACCATTCGACTCAACTCGAAGAGACGAGTCCGATTAAACAAAAAATTTGAAATTTCGAATTTTTTACCCCATATCCGACTTGGTCGAATTCGGGTTCGGGGTTCGAAATAGACAAATTCTAAGCTCATATTCGGACTCAGCACATTCAAATACCTACAGGCAGACCTCAAAAATATCAAAAAAGCATTTATTTGTCATTTTTTTCGGGACCAGTAATCTCCACATTTACCAATAAGTCTTTTGTGGAAAGTATAAAACATACCAGTTAAAAAGGAGACCATAATCCACTAACTGATTCTCCAAAAAAACTGCAAAAATTTATGTAACCATAATTTGATGAAGGGTAGTTTTAGAGTTATTTTAGGAGGTAATTAGGAATAAAATACAAAATGATTGATGCCAAAAAGATAAAATCAAAAATCCATCACAGCAATTGATGTGATGGAGCAAGAATAAAAAATAGATTAATCGACGATTATACAGTAAGAAATAAATACACAATGCCAATTTAATCAATAAATACAGAAATTAAGCATAAATTCAAAATAGTACAAGGAAATCCTCCTATCGACGCATTTTGATCTAACAAATTATTAAAGTAATAAAGCTCAACTCTTTATTATTGACACAAGAATGATAAAATATATAATTGTTATAATATTTCTCAATAAAAATCATCACAGCTTCCTCAAAACATTAAAAAGTTTATTCATTGTATCAATCACCAATCCAGTCAAACCAATTCCAACTTAGCCATGGAATGCGTTTTCTTAGAATATAAAGGCAAACACCAAAATATAAAAGTAATGCAAGCACAATAAGTATTTTATCTGTACATTCACGTCTTCCATATTTTGAAATTAATTTTCCTCCGCTTTTAATTGTTGAAGAAACAGCGTCAAAATTGGAGTGAGAATCGCGTAATACTGAGGAGGAATGAATTAATGCACCTGTGCTTTGTTCAGATTGTTCAACCTTTAAAAATTAAAATATAAAGTTGACAGACTAAAGAAAATAGGTATCTTTAGGAGGAGCAGGCCAACTTACCGCAGAGCTATAACTTCGTTCAAAATTGTCGAATCCGGGACGCCCTGGAATGGTTCGATGCGCCTCTACAAGCTGAATTGAACCATACCAGGGCGTCCCGGATTCAACAATTCTGAACTAAGTCTCTGCGGTAATTTGTGGTGTACCAATCTTTAGGTCTCTACCAAAAATTTAATTTTTAAAATCTTTTACCTGTTCACTCATTTTTGAAACCAAATTACTAAGCATTTCTGTTGTTTTCTCACTTTGTTGTTTTAATGCATCTGACCGACGATCATAACCGCCACGACGTGCAGAAGCTGCAAATGTTCGACGGAAAAGTTGTTCACGAATTTTACGTTCATTTTCAACATTTGAATTTTCTGCTATTCGACGACGCATCTAAAAATTAAAATTTTATTTTATTAAATTTAACTTTATAACCAGAAAAGAAATATTTTTCACAAACAAGAAAGACTAGACAGGGAAAGAGAAATTTATAAGTTAGACAACTAGCCTAAGCGAAATTTTTAAAATCCAAAAAATAAAATAATTCAGAAAATATAATAATATAAAATTAATTGATAAAACGAATAAAAAAAATTCTAAAAATTTTTTAATAAAATATATTTAACCAAAAAACAAATAATTTAAATTTTCAATATCAAATCCAATCTTTTCAACAACTTTTTGCTCTTAATAATAAAAGAACATTTCTTCAAAGGAGCAAATATATTTTTTAATTCATCTCTAATATTATTTTCCTTCTGATTGTTTTCAATAAAAATAATGACAATATCAATTAATTTATTTAAAGTTAAATAAATTCTGAAAAATTTTTAAAAAAAATTAAAAAAATATCTTTTAAAAACCTTGACATTATTGGATTAACTAATTTGTCAGATTCACATTCCATTTCATAAATTATAGACAAAAGAAGTGGACAAATAACTTTACAACAATAAAGAAGTGAATCAGATTTTTGCAAGAAAGATGTTTTTGTATCAGTTTCTATTTTGAAAAAAATTAATTTTAAATTTTGAGGGATAATCGAAAAACATAATAAATTTTAATAATTAAAATTAGAAAGACCAATCACCTTAAATAAATTTAATCCAAAAATGTTTTTGAGTAGGGTTGGATTTTTCGAACAGGGCCGACGTTCGAGTCGTTCTTTCGGGCTTCATTTTTATCGAACCGGGCCGTTCGAGTTTTTTTCGGACCAAAAATCGAGGCCCGGTTCGATCTATCGAACTGAACCGAACCGGGCCCCCAACCCTATTTTTGAGTCAAGGATTTAAAAAATTATTTAAAAACTAACTGTTATATAAAACAGGAAAATCAAAACAATTTGGATTTGGTAACAATTTAACGGTTGAATTTGTTTGGTCTTTGCAAGAAAAATCAATTTTTAATTCGCGTTCAGGCCAAATTAAAGAATTCTCAGAGAAAGTGGAGAATGTGACAAGAAATAAATAAACGGCATCCAAAAGTTCTTTCCTTTAAAAATATTAATGAATTAAAATATTTTTGAAAGTTTGGGGAAAAAATTTGTTTTCGAATTTGATAAAAATTTAAAAATTATTAAAAATTATCTTTTAAAAACAAACATTAACTCATTTAATTGAAATAATATTTTGTAAATATTTTAATAAAACCGGAATGCCTTATATTACCAGCAGCTTGAAATACCAACCCCCAAAAACCATTGAAATACCAAAATAATGGAAAAAGGCTTGAAATACCAAACTAGGAAATAGCAAAAATGGGAGAAAAACTTTTGGTATTTCAAGATCATACCTAATAAAACTAAAAAACCTGTCATCTGTCGGTCTTCTAGGTCCATCCAAAACCAACAAAAATTTTTCAAATATTTCCTCCTTTTGATAACACAATTTTGGATATCTTTTAAAAAGTAAAATTAAAATGTTGAAAGCCATTTGTCGAATATTTCTTCTAGCATCCAAAATAGCTGTGAGAACATAAGCAGAAAAAAGTTGAAAATGAGAATTTAAAACATCTGAAGGAAGAGAACAAATTTGGTCAATTAAGCAATTAAATTCAATTTTTGTACTTTTTTGATTAAGCTACAAAAAATGAAAGAAATTTAAGGCAATCCCTGAGAATTGGGGCCCCTGCGAAAAAAATTGTAAAAATTAGAAAAAGGGTTTTTCTTGGGTAAAAAAATATGCTGATTACGAATCTGAGCTCAGATTTTGAAAAAGTCAAATCTCGAACCCTAACCTTTTTCTTATTTTTACTTCTTTTTTCACAGGGACACCGATTCTCCGGGATTGCCGAATTTAAAAATTAAATTTACTTCTTTTAACATTAATGGACCAATTCTAACAATAATTTTATGTAAATGACGAAGCAATTCGTTCAAATTGTTTTTAAAATAATTTCGAACACCTTAAATTAATTCTCTCTTTTTCTTTCAAATTAATTTTAAAAAATACCACAAATAGCTGTTCTACTCATATTTTCATTGTGATGTGAAAGTTGAGAAATAATAACATCAATAGATTTAATTTGAGGTTTTCCATCATTTTTGTCATAAACAGAAGTATTTAATTCATTAACAACATTTTGTTCAGTAAGAATAATTTTTTTAGATTTAATTTCGGTATTTGTTGAATTTAAATGAGGCAAATGCCGACCAACTTTAATTTTTTTCTTTTTAAAAGTTGGAACATTTCTGACAGCTGGATTAAATTTTCGTTTGCTTGCTTTCGGCATCCTGTAGAAAATTAAGAAAAAAATAAAAGGAAAAAATAAAAAAATAATGAAACGGCTTGGCGATGAAAATATTGGCAATCAAACGGATTAAATGTCTGGGGAAATTTATCGGTTAAGGACGATTCAGTATCGCCGATTCAGTATAGCCGATTCAGTATCGCCGATTCAGTATCCGCCGATTCAGTATATTGCCATAACTTTCCTGATATCCGACCGATTTGAATAATTCTCATATCATTCGAAAGGTCTCATAATCCGGCATCTTTTTTATAATTGGCCCGATCTGATCTGATGATCGCAAAAAAAGTTACAGCGTCAAAACCGATTTTTTATGCCTGTAACGTCATTTATCAGTGATAACTTTTTGTAGAGTGATAAGATCAGGTCAGTCCAATTATGAAAAAGATGCAGCACCCAGAGGCCTATCAAATCATATATAATAATTCCTACAATATTGATCGGGCAAAAAGTTATGGCCAAAAAGCCCAAATACTGAATCGGCCAATACTGAATCGGCGATACTGAATCGTCCCCTACCCGAAATTTATTGATTTTTATTTTTAATTCGTCACTTTTTTTGGAAAAGTCGGATGTCACGTAGTTGTTTACAACTTCGAGTTTTTTGTATTTATTCGTGTTTAGTGTATATGTGTCATAGTCAGTTATCAAGTTTCTACTAACTTTTTACAAAAAAATTGCAAATTAAATATAAAAAGAATGATGTCCAAAACAAGGGGTTTTTATTTGCATTTTAACACTATTTGGGCTCTGAAATTTACTATTCTGATATCTTTTAGACAAGTTTACTTGAAATTATTCAATTATTATTTTATTTGCAACTATAGTTTACTGTTTATTTTGAATTTGAAAACAAATTAAATTGGTCAGGTTTGTCCAATCCTTCAATAAAAATCTTAAAATGACTTTTTCAGATGTATCGTCGTGATAGAATAAATGAACGGGATGTTCCCGAAAGCCAGGTTTTTTATTCGCTTTTCCTTTAATTTTAACTTTTAATAATTCTAGCATACAATTTTCATTCGTGGTTTGCCTGGACAACTGACAACTGAGGAGCTTCGGTTAGTTTGTTTAAAATTTTAATTTCGTACATCTTCCTTCATCCTTTTGTTGTTGTTTTTTCCTATAAATAGGCGTATTTAGCACCTTTAAATTTTACTGACTATCGATCCATAATGTCTCTACGCCAATAAAAATCATATTGAATCTTTTGATAATCTCAGCTTTAGGCTCTACAAAATTTCAATAAAAATATATTTGTGCTTTTTGATGAATACTGCACTAATTTAAATTTACGAGACAAATGCACATTATTAAATTAACGGCTTTCAGTTCCTTATAAAATCATTTAAAAATATTTTTGGGCCAATATATCCTTTTATCAAGTCAACTATTTATTTGTTTGTTATTCTTTTACGTCATATAATTTGAAAGTATTTTACAAATTACCCAATTACCAAGCCAATTTACAATGCACTTGAATGTTTTACACGATTTTAGAGGGAATTTTATAGTTCTCCGTGCATATTTGGTCAAAATTGGATTTTATTTCGAAAATTAAATTTTGAGAAATTACCATTTTTATAATTATATTTACCATAATTTTGAAGAAAATATTAATTGATGGAATGATTAATTATATTTAATTGGCGCTTATTACTTGAGCGTGGTAAGTGGCCAAGAAAAGATTGACGACAAGAAATTTTGATTTCGAATTGTTAAGGGCAGTAAATATATTTCTCTTTTTTAGTGATTTCTTTGGAAAGGATACTGGATGCACTTTTGATTTTGTCAAAGTATCACCTGATAGATTGAAGCTTTATGTTGCTGTACGCTTTGAAAGCAAGACTGTGGCTCGCAAAATTATGGAAAAGTAAGTTTTTTCTTTAAGCTTATGTAATTAAAAATTTTAGATGTCAAAAAGAAGGCACTATTCTTGGTCACGAAGTAGAACTGACTTGGTTCCGGGATATTCGTCGCTATTTAGCTCATTGTGCCAAACAAGGTCTGTATTCGCCTATTTTCTTGTAATGTTTATTGTTTAAGGAGTTAGACCTTCTCGCTTTAATAACCATGGTAGTTCAGGACATCGCGGCAGTGGGCGTCGGTCGAGGTTTTCATAATGTTTAAATTATTCCACTCTTTTCAGATCTTATACTCGTTCTCCTGAGCGAGGTCCGACAGAAGAATATAGTGGTGGTAACAAATCCGTGAGTCGATCTGTGTCTGGTTCTCCTTCGCATCGTAGTCTTACTCATTCTGATGCGGATTCACGTTCTCGAAGTAAATCAGTGTCATCCCAGTCATCACAACATTCCGAACCAAAATCTTTGGATTATTCTGATATCGTAGTGAATAATGCTTATTTTTTAATTTTAAATTTTTATTTTAGAAGAAGGAACGTTCTCCTTCACCACCACCTAAGAAACAAAAAAGCAAGAAAAAAGAGCGAAAAGAGAAGAAAAAACGCAAACATTATTCTTCTTCGCCGAATATTCATACGGCAAAAACTCAGAGAACTGAAGGGTCTGATATCGATGTAAGTGATGGAGAGTCTTCACCTCCCTCAAAATATGCAAATGCCAATCAAGGACAACCTCAAATGACTATAACGATGAGTAAACCAATTGGGCCAACACGTCCGGATGCGCAGGTTTGTTTTTAAAACCTCTTAAGAGACCTATTGCTTTAATTTTGATTGGTTGATTTGTTGCTAGAGAGCTTTGAAAATTAGCTAAAAATCCTTCGTTGAATTTATAATTTTATTTAAATTCTTAAGTTTACACATCGCCGTGTAGTTGTAGGCTCTCTCGCTACTAATCAACAACAATCACAACAAAAACATTCTGGTCAAAATGTTCAGCATGAAGTTTTGTCCACTCAAGTGAAAACTTTGTTTTTAATAATTTTTAGCTTCTTACCCGTTCATGTTTTTTCAATTCATAATTATTTAAGAGTAAACAATCAGAGGATAACAAATTTCGTCAGACTTTTACTGTGGATCTTGATTCGGTATGAACTTGATGTTTTAGCTTAAATGCCTTTTATTACAATAGAATGCTTCCATTCCAAAGTTTAAGTCAGAGCAACCTGGCATAGTTTATCAACCGATGAACGGTACCAAGACTACTAAAGGTGGGTTAATTCGAATTTTGCTTCCAAAAATAAATTGCCCATCGATTGAGAACCATATTTTTAACAGTTCAAAGTATGGCTGTTGAAAAGTATATACCTAATTCATTTTCGAAAGTAAATATTCGTTTGAAAGAATTTTTGCTCATTAACTCCTTTTAAAAATTTTAGACGATGTAGCCGCGAAACGTCCACGTGTTGAGCTCGAATCGTTGCAACAACCTCCTGTTGTTCGCAGTGTTAAAGCGTCTGCTTATTCTGATCAAATTATGTCTTCCCCGGTGCGTGAGAGTGGCGCCATGGCAAATAATTTCTTCAAAGACATACAGGTAAATTATAATAATTTGAACTAAAATTTGACGGGTTCCACCTCTAGTGAGGTTGTTATTAATTCCAAAATATTTTCTCCGTTATTAAGACGTAAATTTTATTATATATCAATTTATTTTTCAGCGCCAAATTCTGAAAGATATAAAATTCAAAATGTCAACAAATGCTAATGTTGATGAAAATCAAGGAGGATTTCATTTAAGTATATTTTAAATAAATGAATTAAAATAATTATAAAATTATAAAATTAAAAGGTTCTTTGTCCAAACAGCAAATTTCCGACAATATTCGTGAAGAGAAAATTAACAAATTATCTGTAGAGTTACGAGAATGTGTGGCAAAGAAAAAACGTGAATTTGAACAGGTTAATGAAGAATATTTAACTAAAAATAATTTATTTAATTTTTAAGAGCTATCGAAATGATTGTGAAACTTTTGGATTTGTTACTCAAAAACTTGTTGAAAAGGATAAAACTTTGGAGGGTTAAAAATTAAATTTGTTAAATTTATTTAATAAATATTTTTACAGGCCGTTTAAAAGTTGCTCTTTTGGAAACTATGAAAGATTTAGAAAGTGAAACAATGAAGAAATTTGATGAATTTCTTGACCAAATCTCTCTTACATTTTAACCTGTTAAACAACCAAAAAGTTGCGATGATAAATATTCTTTATATAATTCCTCACCAATTATTTTTTAGTTTAATTTGTCTATTAAATAAATTTGATCTTTTTTGTTTTTTTCGGCTCCCAATTTTTGATTTTATTTCCTGACAACAGGAATTTTTGCATCCCTAATTATGTCAACATTTTGGCATTGTTTATTTTAATTCTCCTGCAATCTTCCACTAAAGTTTCAAATAAACAAATAAATACTATAATTAGGAAGATGAAGTTTCTCATATTTAAGTGACGTAAACCAATATTTAGCTTTATTATGGTTATTTTGTTTATTTAAGAGTGGTCCATGGTTTGTTGGCCTAAATTGACACACCAAAATTGTAAATTAAATAAAAAAATTTTCAACCTTTTTAAAACTTTATTTAGGGTTTTCGGTCCTTGGAAACCTTCGGATATCCGGAACCGTACCGAAAATTTTTAGTGATGATCATTGTTTTGGAATTTTGTCTAGACGAATTGTGACTTCGTTTTCTGATGAACCGAATGGAGGAACCGAACCGAAAAATCTCGGTTCTTCGGTCCGACAACTCTAACCGGCAATCCTAACTTTGTTTATTGAAAACCTTTTGAACGTTCATAGACTTGTTTGCAAAATTAACTTTCCTTACATCATTATTTATTTACAAATTTTGCATTATAAACTTGTCAGTTTCAGACCCTTTTAAGGCAAAATTTACATTTAATAAATATTCTATAAGTAGTAAATGTGGGGGAACATTTCCGGTTTTTATAAATAAATGTAAACCTCCACATCTACATATTATTTTCTACACTCATCCTTTCAGTAATTTGCTTAAGTGCATTCCTCATATACTTTTAAAGATTTAAAGTGTTTAATTTAAAGTCAAAATAATTTTTTTATTAATTAAATATAATTGAAGTAAATTAGACAATTTATTAGTTGAATTTAAAAAAAGTTTTTAAAAAAATATGCAAAAATTTTATTTTAATTAATTTCAAATTAAAAAAAAAATTTTTTTTCTTTTAAAAAACTTAATGGAATATGCGTGTTTCTAATAGTTTTTAAATAAATGAGAGTATGTAAAATAATCTTTTATAAAATAATTCCTGCATATAAATACGTAAATAATAACAAAATTAAAACCACGTGGTGAGGGGTTTATATTTCCTTAGTCCACTAAAATATTTTATATGTGGATCACAAGCTGACAAGAAGCTTTTTTGCGATTAGTAAAGGAATGAAAAAGCCTTTAATATTAAACATTTACATAAAATAATTTTATACTATTACATAAATCTTTGTTAGATTTTGACTCTAAAAATCTGAAAAGAATTTAGCTTTATTTGAAGTAAAAATGTTTGGTTTTAAAAAATGCGAATAATATCATTTTACTGTTATACTAAATATATTTGTAAAAATAATCTTTAAAATATTCAACTATTTTTAATTTATTTTATTTTTTTTACATCATTCTAAATTGTCCCTTGTTTAGGGAATGCCAGTAACTACTGTTTCTGAAGTGAATAGGTAATGTAATTAGGTGACCGGAAACTCCGCTAGTGACCAAAATTCCACAAATTCTTAAATCAAAAATCAACGGTACCATGAGCTGTCTCATGGTTAAATAACATTACGGTAGTAAACCACGTGGTTTCCTTGTAGTGCCGTTTTACAATGATGACCTTGTCATTTGAATGCTCATTTGATGAACAATTTTCGATAAACAATTCAAAATTGTACATAGAACTTGGCTCATAATCCTTTGTTTGTTTCAGTGAGAAAAACTAAAAATAAAAAAACTAACTGTAACTATAAATCTCATATCTTCATTTTAATCTTTATATTATTAATATGATCCTGCTTCTCCCAGACCCATTGGTCCTGAACACCAACACCAAAAAATGCTGCAGAACATAAAGCAAGCATTATAGACCCGGAGAATTAAATAAACATTTTTATGAGATCTAATTATACTGGCATGTTCTAAACCAGGTCTAAAATTTTCTCATTCTAAATTTAAAAATTACACGGAATTTTTATTTATTTTTTAGCAGTGTAAAAAAATTTGAATGTGAAAAATCTTTAAAACCTAATTATTTTCAGTTCGTTTATTTTGCACATTTTTCTCTTATTTTAGCATCTACCTTTTGTTTAAAAAGTGTAAAAAAGTTTAATTAAATTTCTTTTAAGTTTTTACTTGCGTGGGAGGAGATATTTAAATAGATGTTTTTTTAAATTAATTTAAAGACTAAAAATTATTCTTTATTTAAATAATTAAATATTTACGCTTATTTATTTTAAACAGATATTTTTTAAAGAAGGAAATAAATATCTAAAAACAATTGTTATTGTCATATACGAATTGTTAGCGTTATACATTTTTGACAAAAGGATATAGGAAGTGCGCGAATTAAAAATCGTTCAAAGGGTGGAAAAATCCGTAGATAATTTTGATAAAGAAGTCGAATTTCAGATTTATTTTTGTCTGTACATCAAAATATTCAAGCTTAATTTCACCTTAATCTTTTTTTCTCTTAAGTTTTTTTCTCTTAAAATACCATACGAGAACAAATTAAAAAATATTCTTTTTTGTTGTTTATCATTAAGTTTGCTTGCACAAAATATTTAAATAATTTATTCATAATATAAACATATTTATATTTTCAATTTATTTATATGTCAAGTGCATTTGAAAACAAATGCTTGACAAACATGTCTATTTATATTTTTTTACTAAAAATAAAATAACGATAATATTACTCAGAAATTAATTATTTAATAAGGAAATATTTTTTTAAATAAAATTTTCTGCAAGTTAAAATTTGATACCTTTTTTTCATATTAAATTTTATTAATAGAAAGTCGCTTCAAGTTAGAGAGCTTGGTTAAAGGAAAAGAATCTTTATTTGTGTAATAATTATATATCAAAAGGAATCTCGACTGTAAATTAATTTAGAAACTTTCCATAAATAAATTCCTTCAGATTATAATTATTTAGAAAAAAAACTTTCTTTCTTTTTTGTAAATTATTATATATATTTTTATTTTAAATAAATTATGCCAATTTTTTGGTTAATTTATCTTTTAGGACAAAAATGTGTGTATTTTTATTTAATTCTAGGAAATATTCAATAAGCGAAAGAGACAACTTTTTGTAGAAAAAACTTAAAAAAATATAGCCAGCATATCCATCAGTAAATATTATAATTGGAATAGTCGGGAATTTTTTGTCAAAACTTTTTTTTATATTTGATGAATATATCGAATAATTTATTTTTTTAATTATTTAAATTATTTTACAAGTAAAATGATTAAGAAACGAAAAACATTTAATTATAAGTAATACATATACACTGTAATTCTGAATTTGTTTCTTTCTGTACATATCAAAAGAGCCAAAAATATTTAGAATCGCAATTTTTGGAAATATTACTTTTCTAAAGTTTTAAATTATCCAATACGTTTTTAATATTTTATTAAAAATTTCTAATCATAACATATGTATAACTAACCACATTTTTTTGTAAAATAAGTAGCGATGGTTGGGAGTTAGAAGAAGCCGAGAATCGAGACAGAGACCGAGAGCTCAAATATCCCGAGAAATTTCCCGACTCGAGAACCGAGACTGAGAGTCTCGACCATCATCTCTAGTTAGCCTCACCTTTGTGAAAATTTATTTATAAATATTTTTTGGTTAAAGAATATTATTTTTTATTATTTTCTAAAATTTTATAGACATCTTCAAAAAGGTTTTCTTTCTCAACTTTCAAGTACATTGATAAAAATATTATTTATTTATTTAATAAATATATTTATTTCTATTTATGGGAACATATTTATTACATAAATAGTAAGATATATTAAAAAAGCAATATATATTAGTGAATGACACGAACATTTTTCCGGAAATGTTTTTTAAGGAGAAAGGAGTGAAAAAATAAGAAGAATCATCTTCCTCTATTTTTACTCCTTTTTATGTCTCTTCCCCTAATTTCAGTTCATTTTTGGAATTATTTTCTAAAATTAACTAAAATTCTAGCCAAATTTAGAAAATTAAAATTATCCTCTAAAATTAAATTTTATTAATTTTTAATTAAAAAATAAATTAAAAAAGCAAGATTTTTTCTATTAATTTTATTGAAAAGAGCAACATTATAAATTTCTTTATCAAAGAAAAAATAAAAATATTTTTCAATATTTTAGAGATTAATTTTTAATAAGAATTATCTTTATTTGAGGGAATATGTTAATTGAAAAATATTTTAATTTATTAAATTTAATGTCGAATTCAACAAAAACAAAAATATTCCTACTTGTTTTGATAAAATATTTAATATTTTTTTAATAAAATAATCTTAAATATATTTTTGTTTTGCCTAAATATTTTTTATGTAAATTAAAAAATAAATTTATATAAAAATAATTTTTAAATCTTTTGACTTTTGATTTTAGTAGATTTACATAAATATTTATTTTAATTTTAATCTTTTTTTTTAATTTTTTATTTTAATTTTTAGACATTATAAAAAATATTTTGATTTATTTGGACATATTAAAGTTAATTTTTGACACTTATAAAGAAGGAGGTAAACCCACGCTTTTATTTGAGCAAGGACCTATGTAGACCTATGTAGTAGGTGTGTGCCTTTTAGAATCTGTTTCGGCACGTACCTGCTATGTTGCTATATCGAAATTCATTTAAATATTGAAAAGCATAAAGACTCTTATTTTTCATGCCAAAAATTGAATTGATAAATAATTTCATCGTTATTTACTCCCATAATTCAAAAATTCAAATTTACATAAATTTAGTGAAAAAAAAACTAAATTTCTCATCTCATTTTAGATCTACTTTTAGATTTTCTTTCCTAATTATTTTTCTTTAAATTAAACAGAAATAGTTTTTCGGCCAATTATCAATTTCTAAAATTAAGATTAATCTTTTTTTCGTTTTATTTTATTTTTTCATTCTATATTTAAACTGAAAGT